CCCCACCCCTTCCGCCGCTTCCTCCTGTGCCCCTGGAACTGTATTTTGACCCCATGCATCCTGGAGTGAAAGACTCAAAACGCACGCGCCAGCTCTGTGACTCATTTGGTTTAGCCAGGCTGAGAGAGCGTTTAAGGATGCAGACTCCGGCCTGTCTTTCTGCACCAACGTTAGGAATGTGCTGGACGCCCTCCTTAGAAAAATTAGTGTCATCGGGCAGTGAGTGACATGAGCTGTTAAAAATCGCTTTGCGCAGGAAACTTTGTCAGGCCTTGGACTCTGGAATGCTTTGTATCTTCTTGTCAAGGCCCATGGACTCCAGGTTTCCCGTGTGGCTTTTTGAAATGCACCGAAGATGGGCTGGAGCCATTTGTGGGATCTCAGTGGCTGGCAGGAGGCCGAGCACTTCCTGAGTTGGAAGACTTAGTATGGTGAGAATATCTTCGTTGCTATTTGATAGTCACTTCCTGCAAGTGTCTGATTCCCAGAATGTGGAGATTTGTTAGGGGCGTGGAATAAGTGGTCTCCAGGGTCAGGGTCTTACTGTCTGTAGGGGAAATGCCACCCCTGGGTCCCTGCACCTTTTCCCGCAGCGAAGTTGGCAAAGATAACAGTTACACAAACGACACACTCAGATGGGGCCATTGAAGTTCCATAATGGCTTAAAATGGTCACACTGGGTTTCTCAACTTCATAACTGGACAAAAACAGTGTGTAGAAGACAATAAACTATCAGTTGAGATCACTACCCCTCCCCCACCCTCTGCTCCATTTCCTTTGTCCTATTCTGTGATAGGAGGCAGCGCAAGGACAAGAAAAACAACAAAAAGCATGAGCAAAGACCACTATATCAAAACACCAAAGACCACTATATCAAAACACCAGAAAATAGAAATTAAGTTCACACGTAAAATTAAATTTTAACAACTTATTTTTGTGTTTGTGTTTTCTTTTTGCTGCTTTGAGGATCAAACCCAGGGCCTTGAGCATGCTATGCAAGCACTGTGCCCCTGAGCTACATCTGCAGCCCAAGTTAAATATCTAGAACACTTGAGCTTGTGCTGGGACTCGTATCTGTCCTCTTAGACGTGCCAAGTACCACGAATGACGCAGGGCATACACGACCCAAAAGCCTGATCAAAACGATCACAGTTATGGGCCCAAGTCTGCTGTTGGACAGCATCTGTCACCTCGCTAAGATTGGTTTCACTGGGAGGACTGGAGGTTTGGGTGGGAGAAAATAGATTGCTTCACCTCACCACAGGAGTTGGAATAAAAGAGAAAACTGGTATATAGTTGTCCCTTGATATCTGCATAGGATCGGTTCTAGGTCTTCCCACACATGCCCAAATCTGCTCAAGTCCCTTGTATGACATAGCGTAGTATTTGCATATAACATAGATCCTTATATACTGAACGCAAGGGTGCTGTACCACTGAACTACATCTCCACATCCCCAGGGTCTTGCTGAGTCACCCAGGCTGGTCTCCAACTTGTGATTCAGCATAATACTCAAGGTAGCACATTTTTTTCCCTTGGGGGTACTGGAGATCGAACTTAGGTTCTTGCCCTTGTGAGACAGGTGGTGAAACCACTGAGTTAAATCCCTGGCCCTTTCCCAAACATTTTTAAACCACAGTTGGTTGAATTCATGGTATGGAACTTACGGATATAGAGGTCAGAGTGTATAAGATTTTGAGAAAAGGAAGAAACTGGCAGGACATGTAGAGCTGGAAAGCCATGGATTAAATGAAGTTTTGGAAATAACTTCACTTGCTTCTAAGTTTTATTTGATAATAATGACAGTTGCTCTTTTTTTTTTGGTACCGGGGATTGAACTTGGCCACCAAACAGCTGAGCTAAATCCCCAGCCTGACAGTTGCTCTTAACCGAGCAACTTAATGGAGCAGTGGAGTTACTTGGAACTTTAACTTGTGTGATCTCTATGAACATCACATTGGTAAGTTTTATTAGTCTAGTTCATAGAGGTTTGGCCAGCTGGGTTTGCATTGAGTCTTTGGAGTTGATGCTGAGGGTCAGATGAAAGATGGCGCTGCGGAACCCAGGGATTTAGCTCAGTGGTTCTGCCGCCTGTCTCACAAGCACAAGGACCAGAGTTTGAACCCCAGCACCAAAAAAAAAAAAAAAAAAAAAAAAAAAAAAGGTGGCACTGTGATGGAGACTTTTATCCTCCTCTAAATTCCTATACCTGCTCTCGCATTTCCCTAGTTTCCTTCAGAGGCTGTAGTTCGTTTTGAGAGTAGCAGACATGCAAAGAAGGAAGTGGAGATGGATGGCCATCTTATTATCCAGGCGCGAGTCGATATAACTTGCTGAAATGCTGGTCCATCCTCAAGCAACGAGAGACTCTTTCAAATTCAGGCTGCTTCTGCAGGCCTCCTCGGCCTCTCATTAATTTTTGTAGCGCTGCCTGTCTTTCTTTCTCTCTTGTTCATTGCCCTTCTAATCTGTTTTCCACACGACCCTTCTCGCCGACACAATTTGATTTCCGGGTTGCTAGCAGGCTTCTCTCTGACCTTGATTTATGTGTGCCTTCCCCGTGCCACATGTCTTTGCTGTACAGATGTCTCTGCTACCTTTTCACATTTCCTTTAAGGACCCACAGATGCTTGGCAGAATGTTGCAGAAATAAAGCGGACTAGAAAGACAGTTCTAGGGAACCTAGTATCTCGGGTTTGATGTGGGAGTGAAGGAAGATTTAGACCTCCTCAGGGTGCAGAGAAAGAAAAGGGCAGATTTTTAGCTTCTTATGGAGTGGTTCTTGAACTTTTTTTTTTCTTCTTTGTACTGGGGATCAAACTTGGGACCTTGCACTTGCAAGGCAGGCTGCAGAAAAAAATCCACAGCCCTGGTTCTTGAACTTTTAAAAATATTTTATTTCAGGCCTGTCAAGGGTCAGACAATGTGGGAACTTAGTCTCACTGGGGATCCCAGTGGCATCTGGCTGATTCTCTACTCTGGCTTTCCGGTCTCATTTTCTTCCCCATGTCTGTCTCCCAACCCTCAAAAGCCTTAGGAGGCTTAAGCTCCCATCCATCAACCAAAAAGGTTTCAGAATTTTGTGGCTGTAGAAAGCTGTACATGCTTTTCACTGTTCCAGTTTCATTAGTTTATATTTTATGAATAGTAACAGTCATTACCCAAATGTTTTTTTGCAAACTTAAATTTCTTTATTTTGGTAAAATTGTTTTTTTTTAATTTTCAAAAAATGTTTGTTGGTACTTTTTAGATGCACACAATGATAATATTCATCATGGGGATTTGTGCCAGTGCATGACATCGCGTGCTTCTCCCCCCATTCCCTCCCTCATGTATAAAAGCTTTGTTTGCATGTTTTCCCTGAGTTTTCTCTTTTTTTTTCTTGTCCTTTCTTTCCTTTTCCCCCTCGCCCCTCCCTTGTTGCCCTTCTCATTTGAACACTGAAGACCCATACTTCAAGTTGGGTGCAAAGTGGTTTAGAGACTAAATGGGGAGAAGCGTGCGTGGATGAAATGAGCTCCTTTTATTCCCACTTAGTACAGGTTCTTGAGTTGCCCCAGTGCCTGGAGTGAAACACTCAGTAACTTCAGGTGAGGGATATGGAACAGTGATGTGCGTGTGCTTCCCAGAATTGTGGTTATAAGTAGTGGGGTCTCATTCCCCTCTGCACTGTTCCCAGATGCAGTTTCTAAATTGTGCATCAAGTTGTCAGCAGCTCCTCCTGGTGCTTACCTCCAGGCTCACTGCCACGCCTTGGAAGGCCAGCACAAACCAGTGCAGATTTCTCTCCGTAGAACCCTGCCACTGTCCCTCTTCGTTCCTCTCCCCACTCATAAGCAGTCCTTTTTCCCAGTTTTTTTGAGATACAGTTGAAAAATCAAAACTGTTATATTCAAGGTGTTTGATGTGATATTTTTGATATATGAATGCATTATAAAATGATCACCACAATCAAGCTCACATAACTACCATTTGTGTGTCATGGGAACATTTAAGGCCTATTCTCTCTGTAAATTTCAAGTAACAATACAGTATTTTAGCTATATTCATCTCACCTTACATTAGGTCTCCTGAGCTTATTCTTCTAGTGTAGATGGAACTTTATACCCTGGGACCACATTTCCTAGTTCCCCACCCCAAGTCCCTGGCAACCACCCTCTATTCTGTGCATGTAGGAGTTGATGTCCGGTCTCTGAAGCTCTGACACCTTTGTGCTCCAGAGCCTTTTCGTGAGTGTGGGAGATTCACCTCTCAATCTTTATTTGGCTACACCTACTCCCAAGTTCAGGTCCCACTTCCAAAAGTGCCACTTTCAGGCTAGGGATGTAGCTGAGTGGTTCTGTCGCCTTACGAGCGCAAGGTCCCAAGTGTGATCTCTGGTACCTAAAATGCCACCTTCTTAGAGAAGACTTCTCTGACCCCCCCATCTTGATGAAGTCGCTAGCCCCTCTATGTTCTAATAGCATCTTGACCCCTTCGTCAGCTATCTAATCCTCTAAAATAAGGTGTGTGCTTATCTCTGCTCCTTGATTATTTCTCTTCTGGCTCCACTGTAAGTCCTGACGGCAGGGACAGTGCATGCTTTCCTCACCACCAGGCACCCAGCACCTTGCACCTTGCACCTGACACAGGCAGACATGGACGAGACTGCTGAAGACATGAACACTGTACCTCTGCCCAAGCATCTTCTCTGGCTCCTGTTATATCACCTAGAGAAGTACAAGTTCTTTAGTTTGACATATAAACCCCTTACTTTTCAAATCTCAATTTACGTTTATTCTCTGTATAGATCCATGACTGAAACACACAAGATGTCTTGCTTTTCCTTCTGCAGGCCCCATGTTTTTCTGTCTTGATGACTGGACTTTACTACTGCTTCAAATAGCCCAGGAATGAATGACTTTAAATTATGACCCATCTTCAGCCTATGGCAAATGTCACGTACCTCAATCCTTCCAGACACCCCCAAGCTGGAATTAATTTTGCCTTCTCATCTTTGGAGCACAACTTCTGTGACAATCAAAGGAATGTATCGCTTTCTGTTTTTTAGAGTTTTTTCCTACATATCTGCCCTCCTCTATGAAACTACAAGGTCTGTGACTTAATCACTTTTGTGTCCGCTACCCCGATGCTTTAGATGTAGCAAGTGCATTGTGTCAGCAGACGGAAAATTAGTATGGATGATTGGTTCAAAGTGATGATGAGGTTTCCAAGGTCTGGAACAGCAGTTCCCTCTAGAGACACACGGGGGCGGCCTAACCCAGCTGAGCTGCACAGACTACGCTAGGTGAATCTTTGGCTAAGGGAGTTTGAAGATCATGCAGCCTCTTGCATTCTGTCTCACCGGTCATATTGACCAGCTGTGGATGACAAGAAAGAAATGTAAAGGACAATTTAATGAGCAAAGTATGAGAGTGAGAAAATCAAATCCAAAGACAGCATCTGTGCAGAGAGGCAAGACGAAGCAGAACACCCACCCTCCCTGATCACGGGTCCCTGTGATTCCAGCCACGACTTTGGGAGCCTCTGCGTGACACAGGGCTGGGGGCTGGAGGTGCAGGCGGGGAGATCGCTGAAACTTAGGTCAGGAACAATGGGACTTAAGCTCTGTCGTCAGAGCCTCTGATTTTTGTTTTTGAAAAGCGTATGTGATGTTTTGAAGCCCTCTCTTACATGTAATAAAAACACCACTATTTTCTTTTCAATAACAGGTATGTCGGTGGTGAATTTCGTTTGTTTGGACTAGTGTTTTCTTTCTCTTTTTTGAGTATATTCCTTTCATTCTTAGCAGTGAGACATTATGTGGGGAATGGGCCGTGCCCC